GGTGGTGGTGGTAGGGGTAGGAGTAGGACTAGGACTAGGAGTAGGCGTAGGAGTAAGAGTAGGAGTAGGAGCAGGAGCAGGAGCAGCAGCAGGAGTAGGAGTAGGAGCAACAATAGGTAGTTGTAGTAAGTAGCAATAAGCGCAGGAGTAGTACTTTCGAGCATATGAAAAATCCTGCATGAAGTAAGAAGGACAAGAATACTAAACTCCGATAGCTCCCTATACTTAAACCTCTGCAGGATCGGCAATATTCTGTAGTAGCAGCCACCGCCATCGTCGTCTTCTCGCTGCTGCAGTCGCTGCCGGTGTTCTCATCCTCGCATCGGGATTTGGATGTAAGAGCTCTGTGCCTTAAGTGTTTCGGAGCTTGAGCAGTCTACAATGTTCACAGCAGCTCGAGACGTTTACTGCATAGCCGAACGGCCATGTCCTGTCGTCACTTCCGGTATGCTTGCCAGCAGGGTGGGTAGAAAGGCTGCCAGTAATTAGCAAGGAACCCTTGGACAAAACCCCTTGCACAAATTCATCGCGGATGCGTTTGCAACCCAACCCGAGGCCCCTCAGCCTGCGCAGACGGTTCCAGAAAGTGTGGATACTGGTGGGTGACACAGAGCCGCAGCAAACTATTGACCTACAATCTATAGGGGTTATATAGGGATAGTGGGAAAGAAAATGGAAACTACTGTTTAGGGTTTGGGCCTATAGTCCCCCTTGAGTAGATGGAATATGGCATTGGGCATATTATAATAAGACCCCTATATACCCCATATCTATCTACTTAAGGGGGACTATAGCACTACTAAATGACAACAGAACGGGTTCAGCTCTTGTTTGACTGCACCTGAGGCGGAATGGAGCAGGTGTGGGAAGACGTGCACGAGGCGCAGCCGGGCAAATGACGCAGAAGAGCCAGGAGTAAGATATGGGGGTTTCCCAAAATTAGTGGTAACGTCTTGGGGGGGTGCCTATAATGAGGATTATAACATATGGGCTATTTATAGTATATTGGGGTTTGTATGGGGGTCCCCATATTTAGGGGAAGTACCATATTCATGAATCTGCATGGATGGGTTGTCAAAAAAAAAAAAAAAAAACTTTCCTGGCAGCCAGAGGTCTAGGTGCCACAGAGCAGACTGTATGTCAGCCCGACCGCATCCGCGTTCATGCCTACCCTCACACCTCCCCCAGACCTGTTCTCGATGGCAGGCTGTACTTTTTGAAATGTTTCCAGAAGACACGCCCGCCTGTGGCTCAAAGACAATTCAGGCACAATATCTCTCTGGCAAAGCTGGTCTGGGAGGCATCATACATCCACAGGTCTGCACCAGTGCGCATATGTCAGGTGACGGGTCTTGATCTGAAACCATCAGCATCTCTGAGGCTGTCGAAGAAGCGTTGCTTCGGTTTGCAGGAACTCCACACCAGGCCAGCAGGGCATCCCACCGACCGAGTGCAATGGTGGTTGAGCATATTAGTGGTGGTTTCCACAGTGCTTGTTTTTGCGAGTTGCAGACCTATCACTTGGAACGCAAGAGGTTTCAGAGGATTCCTATCTTACCCCAAACTTGATGCTGGCTTTGGATGCCTCATGGCTCGCGGAGCTTGCCAGATATGTCACGAGACCTCAAACCTTTTGCCCATGCTCTCATGATTGCGGCAAAGCCTCCCCTTCCCCAAAGTAAACCAGCTAGGTTTCTATCACTGACGTGCAGCTCCAGGTAGCTCCTATTGGGTATTGTTGGGAAATGATGGGAATTACGCATGTGTCTCCCATATGATGTGAGGCTGCCAGGGCCCTGGAAGCACTTCTGGCTCGGCCAGAGGCGAAGGCAGTAGCGGAAGGCACGCAACTGCCCAACCAGGACCCTTATATTGCTCGGGTTGTTATTTTTCCTTGTTCGCATTATGTCTGACTATCATGGCGCTGGATCCCAGTCAGCACGAGGAGTGCTATAGCTCAAGGCTTATGGTTAGATGTCTCCAGTGAAACTATCATCGCTGCTATCACTGCTAGCCTCCCCTGCTTCCCTAAGATAGGCATGAAGAGTTCCGAAGATGCGCGATGCTGTTTAGTAACACCTCTAAGGTCGTCAGATCAGGAGTCTGCATAGTGGGGTTTGAACTTCTGCATGTTCAGTACGTATGCAAGCATTCCCCAGACCCCTGGGAGGATCTAGAAAATAGATCGCCCTTAAGGGTTCCTAGAAATTACCCTATAGTAGTAATAGGGTACCATAATAGAGGTTCTAATTACTTTCTAAATCCTGTCAGGGGTCTGGGCCACTGTGAACAAAGCTGGATGCTCATGCTGCCATCTGGAGACCCAGCTCTGCATGTCAGGGGAGGATGATCTGGACTATGACTGCGCTTCCTTGGCTAACGAGGTTCTTTGCTGAATGGCTAATTGGTGGTTTAGGGTTTAGGGTTAGTATAGTAGGGAAGAAGGGAATGTAGTCCCTATACAACCTCTATGTAGTGAATGTCTGTACTCCCTAGTACTAGACAGTGAGATGGGAGCTTTGGAAGGTCTGAGCGGCTCAGGAGAGCAAATGTCCATCCTGCTTCTTGACCTGCACATACCATAAAATACCAACCCCACCATGGGGAAGCATTCTGAGACTTAGGGTTTAGGGATCAAGGTCAAGCATTTTTGAGAGATTGATCCGGCAGACTGACACTTCGGTAGGGAGATAGTCGTGCCTTGCCGGGGATAGTTGCCCGTGCTTCCTTGCAGGCCTACGGCATACGGTTACAATATGAATGCAACATAATTCAAACAATCTATACTCTCCTCGCGAACCCTCGCCAAGTAGGTGTAGTCCAACACTCAGTCAACCAAGGCATTTAGGCCCCTAATCACGTTGCTCGCCAGGACGAGCCCCTCGAGTGGGAAGAGGAGGAGGAAGAGTGGGACGAAGGTGCAGAGGCGCGACTCGACTCTGAAGAAGAGATCCGGGACCAGCGACTGGAGTTGTGTATACCCACAAAATACATACACACGTATACCCCCTAAACAGGATAGCCGTCCCGACAATAGGCGTGCGTAGCTTCAGAACACTGGAATGTGTTGGTATTGCTGGGCCCAATTTGGAGACCTGTACATGTCAAAAGTTGGGTTGATTTGGAAGGAAGCTTCTTGACCGAAATGTAGACCACAACATCTTGAGTTAGTTGATGACAAACATCTGCAAGACCCTACGTACCTAGACCTGCAATTCCGACAGCATGGCGTACTAAGGGCATCAAGCAGAAAAATGACCATAATGTGGATCCGTGTCATACCCTAACCACTAAAACCTGAACCATAAACAATGCTGGGTCCTGGGGATTAGCCAAGGCTTTAATCGAAATGGCTGTACGGCTGACGCGCATGGCTATGTCTTGAAACAAGATCCTGTCTGCGTGTCTAGGATCCTCAGTTTTTGGACACCAGGCAACGTGCCCCTGAATCTCAGCAACTTCCGTATGGCAGCCATTGAGATTTGCTGTTTGCACCTGGTTCGCAGGATGACGCGTATGGCTGCGCCTGGTGCGGCGGTGATGCCAACGACGGTAGCATCGCTGAGGTCCGGATGTAGCGCAGACGATCTTAGACCCGACAGTTCTTGAAGCCAGCGTTGCCCTCGTGAACTGATTGCTTGGCAAGAGTCAGTTGGCAGCAATGTACCTTAGGCAGCCCACTTTGCGGTCTCCGATTTACTGGTACATCATAAGCCCTATATAACCCCTATATAGCCCCAATATAACCCCTTTGTAACCCCAATATAGCCCCTACGTACTCCTAATATTAACCCCTATGTAACCATGACCCCCATGGATGGCTTCGAATGCATCCCTGCATGGAGGACGGGCAGCTTTACTGTCAGGCCTGCTTGGGCCTCAGGGCCCCGTCGTTTCTGTCACGTCGGGCTTCATGGCCTCGATGAGGGCTTAGTAAGTGGGTTAGTCCTAGTAATCATGGAAAAGAAGCTGGAAACTACTACAGTCTACAGTATTTAGGGTTAGGGTTTAGGGTTTAGGGTTTAAGGCTTGGCATTTACAGACCTCAGAGCTTCCGATGTAGCTGCGCTGGCCTAGTTTGCCAAAATAGGGGGGCCCCAACATGGATCAGAATACATTGTAATCCGTACTAAAGGGACCCCGTAGTGCAACCCCCTAGTTTTGGGAAACCCCAAGTTGGAGACGGTTGGTATGCTGTGTTGGTAGCCAGTGGGCCGCACTGTTTGGTGTTTGCTTCTGCCTGCAGTCAAGCTTAGAAGTTCGCAACCCGAAGCCGCAAACCCCATGTATGTAACATGTAATAACCTTACATGTAACCCCATTTGACCCCTATATGATATAACCTTACATGTAACCCTATATTACCCCATATCACCCCATAAAACCTTGTGTGTGTACATATATAATACATATATATATATACATGTGTATATATATATATATAACCCATATGTTACTCCATAGTCCCTTGTTCGATCGCTTCCTCTGCCGCGCTGCGAGCCCGCAAGGCTGGGAGGAGTGGCACGCAGCAGATGACTCGCAGGTCGCGCTGCACAAGTTGGGTCGAGGGTTCAAGAACACCCTGTGGGGAAGCTCATACACCATAGGTTCGTTCCCATGCAGCAGGACACTGAGGAATCTTGTCCGGAGAGTCATTACTCCTTGCTGCCTGAGTTTCGTGCAGCATTCTTCGAGAGTATGAATGCATGGAAGTGCTTGCTGCTGTAGACTGGCTATTGCACTGGCAGGGCCCCCCATACCGCCCTCATACAAGCCTAGACAATTCCTGTAGTATGACCGCTATATATCCTGCATGTTGCCAGATCATGCCTGTGTTTGTTGGGTCATGGCCTGCGCTAGGTCGAAACGCCGGTGCCTTCGGCGGACGTGGCGCTACATGGAACAAAGCCTTCCACAGAGGCCTCGCAAGAACATTACAACGTTGGGGGCTGTCTCTTCATTGGCAGCCATCGTGCACCTCCGAGTGGATTCTGCAGGCGCCGAAACCAGTTCGCCGATGGGGTGCCCAGGCCTTTACCTATGCCTGCGCAGCTGGCCTCTTCGTCCGATTGTTAGGCACTCTATAGGCATTTTTTCACGTTGGGAACGCTCGAAGTATGCGGGACAGCGCTAGTCCCTAGTAAACAGAAGCGAAGAAGCTTTAGCGGATACAAACTTGGAGGTGCATTTTGTTGGGTTTTTTTGCAAGGGATTGAGACCTGCGTGGTTGTCGGGGGCCTAGCTCCAGAACGCTGAAAATTTCATATAACCCCAATATACTATGGTAGTTTCCATATTTTATTTTCCATTATCCCCAATATAACCCCAATATAACTCCAATACACTATAGTAGCTTCCATTTTATTTTCCATTATCCCCAATATTACCCCAATAACCCCTAAGCCCTAAACCCTAAAACCCTAAATCCCTAAACCCTAAACCCTAAATCCCTAAATCCCTAAACCCTAAACCCTAAATCGCAAGGCCAAGCAAGAGAGCGCCTTCTTTGGGAGCCTGGATGGCGCCCCGAAACTGGGTTCCTGTTAAGGAACCTAAATATACCATAATGGGTTTAGGGTATAGGGTTCAGGGTTTAGGGTTTAGGGTATAGGGTATAGGGTATAGGGTTTAGGGTATAGGTTGCCATGCGAGTGCGCCTAGACCCCCCCCCATAAAGTGGTAGGGGGG